GTTCCAGAGTTACACTCATATTGATCAAAATAAGCGAGTTAATGTCACAGATGAGAAATGAAAAAAACAAATAATACGAACACCGTCAGCAGAGGTGGATTGCAAGTCAGTACACAGGTGCCATCTTACCGGAAGTAGGGAATTTGAAACCCTGAGCAAGAGGCTTTTTACATGTGGATATTTGAGGGCATTCACTCTGGGTCACAAACGCCTGCCCCCAAGAGGGACAAGGTGCTGGGAGCTATGAGTGTCCAGCTCTGCTAAATGCAAATGTTAGTTAGTGGCAGGAAGTTACAGAGAGACTGCAGGAAGTCTGTCAAAATAAAATAAAAAAATATAACTTATGAAAACTATGAAAAACATACATAAATTAGACACTCCTGCATATAAACCGCGGGGTACAAAGTGTGAGAAAAAAGTAGTGGCTTGAACACTGGCAATTACGGTAATCAATCAGATGAGACTAGCTCCTTAGTTCAATTCTGATATACATACTTTAAAGCAGGCATCTAGACAGCTGGAAAGAAAATGGTGCTCCACTAACGTTGAAGAATTTTACTTATCTTGAAGAGAGAGCCTGCTAACATACAAAAAAGTGTTCTATAAAACTAGAACTTTATTATTCATCTTTAATTGATGAGAATAAAATAACCCAAGGTTCCTTTTCATCACCATAGCTAGTATAATGAAAAATACTATCTCAGTTAATTCATATATCCCTACAACTATAGGCAGTGATGAGTTCATGAGATTATTTATAAATAAAATTTAAATTAAAATTTTTTTAATTGCTTGGACGCTGCCTACCAAGGTGCGCTAAGATTCATAACTGGCTGTAACTATCGTACCCACCATTGCATCCTGTATTCAATAATTAACTTGATGTCATTAACTTCATGCAGACTCTCACATTGGTTCATTTTCATCTTTAAATCACTTCTTGTTCTGTTGCCTTCATACAACTCCTCTTCCATGTCACTACGTGAGTGCAGATACAGTGTGCACTCTCAGAACATAATTACCTGCAGTGTTCCCTCAGTGAGGACTGAACTTGGCAAAAGGGCCTTCTCCTACTCCGCTCCCATTTCCTGGAATATCTTACAAAAAGACCTTAAGCTCTTGACATTGACCTCTCTAAGTGGCTTCAAGCATCTGCTAAGTTCCTGGGAACAACCATTGCAGACATGTTCTTGTTTTTAGTATCCTACATCGCCTTACAACCTAGCTGTTTTTTTTGTTTAATTTTTTAATGTAATTTTCTTTCACTTGTTCTTCTCAAATGGTATGCTTCCTTTTATGTTTGTCTACTGTTGTCTTTGTTGTTTACTGTTGTCATCACTCTTTATTAGAATCAGGTCTCTCATGTAAATGAGCCCCCGAGCCTCAGTGGTATTAACCTGTATAAATAAAGGTTGAATGAATATGGATGCAGTTAGAGAGGACATGGAGGTAATTGGAGTGAGGACAGAGGACAGAATGAGATGGAGGAGGATGACTAGCTGTGGCGACCCCTGAAAAGGGAAAAGCTGAAAGAAGAAGACGACGACTATGCCCCATAAGAACACACACCTGCCATACCTATGATGGGCTTCTGCAACACCAAGCCGATCACCTGTAAACAGATCCCCTCCAGTTGCAGAGTGATCTAAGAGATAAACAAACAAGCAAACAAACAAATAATTTCAAAACAGTGATAAAATAATTTTAATAGAAAAATTAAACTCTCCTGAAAAATGTTCTGTCATTTCATTTATAGAAGAAAAACATCAATAACACAACACAAAACTAAAAAATACCTTTATTATTGCAATAATTTTAATGCTTTTTCCATTTAGGTTTATTATAAACTATGGAATAACATACCATATTCTGATTTATGAAACAAATACATGCACACATCCAAATGCCTCAAAATGTTTGGTGTTAAAATAAAGTGCTTAAGTATCTTGCTGATGCCAAATCAGAAACAGATGAAACAGTTGAAAATGTATTTAAAAATAAGAGGAGCTTACATGTCATTTTAACTCTTCAAAAGGAGTAAGACAGCAATACCATACCATAGCACAGTGGTCCCCAACCACCGGGCCGCAGACCGGTACCGGGTCATGGGTCAATTTATACCGGGCCCACAGAAAAAAAAACAACAACTTTTATTTTGAAAAATCACCAGATTATCTCCACCACATCTGTCAATGATTCACCATTGACGCAGGTCAATATACACAAGTGGTAAGTTTCAGTTTCTGTTAAGATGCATGCACAGATTGGTTCTACAGTGCCCGTTCGGGTGGAGTAATTTAGCTGCATGGTCTGGAGCAGACAGGACAGGATGAGGTGTGCGGCCGTGTCTGCGCATTTGAAGGATCACTGCATATTTTTCAACCTGCCTGACAAAGAGTGACTATTAACTAAATAAAACTATCATTTTAAACAAAGCCTCCTAATATCACATCAGAGCTGGTTTTGTCTTGAACTTTTCTGAATTCACATCAGAGCTGTTCCTTTGCATTTCTGCTTTTGCTTGTAAAAAAATATCTGCCCCTAAAAGTTCAGAGTCATGGGCAATTTTATTTAAAAACAAATATAAGTAAAGTTTGGCACTATGCATAAGTTCCTGCGCTTTTGTGTACAATCTGATGTGTGAATCACTGCGGAGCAGGGAGGAGGATGAAGAGGCACAGCTGACCCCGGTGTGGGATATACTAATTAAATAAGAAATGATCCTGCACTTAATACACTTATAAATCACACATAAAGTGATTAAAAGTAAATTTGAAATACAGGTGCTGGTTATAAAATTAGAATTTGTGAAAAAGTTGATTTATTTCAGTAATTCCATTCAAAAAGTGAAACTTGTATATTCAATTGTTACACACAGACTGATATATTTCAAATGTTTGTTTATTTTAATGTTGATGTTTATAACTGACAATGAAGCAACTGACAAATCAGCTACCTCAATCTGTCCTCAAGTGAACACTCCTTACCTGCAGAGCTGCAGCGGTTTACATTTAGTCATTTCAATATTGAGTTTACATCCTTTGTTTCATGTTAATCTACTGTAATAAACATTTGTAAAATACACCAGAATGCAGGAAATGGCATATACTTTGTCCAAAATTCTCTGGGGTAGGACCCTCAGACTCCCGTTAACACCTCCCCCCCCAACCCCCCAACCACGCAACCCCGCCACCCACCCACACAAACCCCCCCACCACCACCACCACCCTGCATTGAAAAATGCAGTCTTTCCTGAAAGAGATGACGTCTAGATGGGAGCATATGTTGTTCTAGAACTGGTGTGCCCAACCAGTCGCTCGCGGGCGACTGAGCTGGTTCCCAGTCGCCAGCGAAGCGAAGCCTTGACTTGTATTCTCACAGACATAGTCTCGCGAGTTTTGGGTGCGGTGACACAGCGCTCTCACGAGACTTTAGGCTCAGTAGTGGAGTAATGTCGGTGCGCAGAAAACATGGATGGAAAACTAGCGAACAAGCAAACGAAAACTTATTATTTTCACACAGAGTGGGAGGAGGAGTATTTTTTTGTTTATTCTAATTCGAAGTCCATTTGCCTCATCTGTAATTCGAGCGTTGCCTTACCCAAAAAGTGTAACTTGGAGCGGCATTTCAAGACGATGCACAAACGGTTTGAGACAGATTTCCCTCTTAAAAGTTCTTTACGGACTCAGAAAGTGCGGGAGCTAAAAAACAAGCTTGCAGCCCAGCAATCAGTCTTCACTCGCCCCAGCACAAAAGGTAAAGCTGCTACGATAGCTTCCTACCGTGTTAGCCGCATCCTGGCTCAACATAAGAAGTCTTTCAGCGATGGACAAGTTATGAAAGAAGCGTTTATTGAGGCTGCAGATGCGCTTTTTCATGATTTTAAAAATAAAAGTGAGATCGTAGCTGCTATTAAAGACGTGCAGTTGTCCAGACAAACAGTGACACGACGATGTGAGGGAATGGCTGTGGATGTGGAGGAGCAGCTAAAAAAGGACGTGGAACAATGTGAGTGTTTCTCTCTTCAGTTTGATGAGTCGACAGACATGGTGGATGTAGCCCAGCTGTGTGTTTTTATCAGAATGGCCTTTGCAGACATGAGTGCAAAAGAGGAGCTGCTCACCATCTTGCCTTTGAAGGGACATACAAGAGGAGAAGATATTTTTAATGTGTTTATGGAGTTTGTTAATAAAAGCAACTTGCCCCTCTTTAAACTAATTTCTATAACAACTGATGGCGCTCCAGCAATGACTGGTCACACCAGTGGATTTGTTGCACTCTGCAAGCAGAATGATGCTTTCCCAGACATTTTGCACTATCACTGCATCATCCACCAACAGGCCCTGTGTGGGAAGATTTTAAACATGAAGGACGTGATGGATGTTGCCATGAAAACTGTGTGTTCTATAAGGGCCAGGAGTCTGCAGAGGAGGTTGTTCCGGGCTCACTTGGAGGAGGCAGGAGCAGACCAAACAGACCTGCTGCTGCACATGGACGTCAGGTGGCTAAGCAGAGGTACATTTCTGGACAGATTCAGTGAGCTGTTGCCTGAGATCAGGGATTTTCTGAAGCTGTCAGATCATGGTGAACATTCAAAACTAGAGGACACCCAGTGGCTTTTGGATTTAGCCTTCCTCACAGATCTCACCAGCCTGCTCAATGAACTGAATTTGGAGCTTCAGGGAAAGGACAAAAACATAATCCACATGATCAGTTCTGTGAGCACCTTCAAAAGCAGGCTGCAACTGCTCACAAGTCGGCTGCAACGCAGGGACCTGCGAAACTTCCCACACATGGAGGCAGAGCTACAGCGCCAAGGGAAAGAGGTCCCACAACTGGACAGTGCACACTATTCTAAGCAGGTTCAGAGCATCTCAGCAGAATTTGAGAGACGATTTACTGACTTTTCCTCCATCGAGCCTGTTACCAGCTACATGTGTTATCCTTTTGGAAATGTTGATGTGGATGACATTGTGTCCAAATTGGTGTCCGTGTTTCAGCTGGACAGCTCTGGTGTTGAAAATGAGGTGTTGAGTCTGCAAAATGACATTGGGATCAAATCCAGAGCATCACCTGGCGTGGATGGAGAGTTCTGGAGTCTGCTGTCAGAAGAAAAGTATCCTAACATCCGAAGATGTGCTTTGAACTTAACAGCACTTTTTGGATCTACCTACCTGTGTGAGTCTGCTTTTTCACACATGAAAATCATCAAGTCCAAAAACAGATCCACAATGAATGATGATCATCTGGAGACCTGCCTGCGCCTCGCAACCACCTCATACTGCCCATCTTATGAGACCCTGGCCTCCTCCTCTCAGTGTCAGAAGTCCCACTAAGGTAGAGACACATTTATTTTATACAGCTTGCATAAAAAGTTGTCTCCTATAGACACATCACGTTCTGTTTTATTTACTTTAAAGAAGTGAGGAGTAGGGATTGATGAAAAATTATGTTTGTTGATAATGAGACTGGACGAGTAGCTCTCGGCAAAGTGCCGACTTCAAAAGTAGCTCTTGGTTCAAAAAAGGTTGGGCACCCCTGTTCTAGAACCTGAACATAGTTCTCTGCATTAATGGTGCCTTTCCAGACATGCCAGCTGCCCATGCCACAAGCGCTCATGCAACCCCATACCATCAGTGATGCAGGCTTCTGAACGGAGTGTTGATAACAACTTGAGCTATCCTTGTCCTCTCTGGTTCGGATGACATGGCATCCCAGTGTTCCATAAAGAACTTCAAATCGTGACTCATCTGACCACAGAACAGTCTTCCATTTTGCCACACTCCATTTTAAATGACCCCTGGCCCAGTGCAAACGTCTGAGCTTGTGGAACTTGCTTAGAAATGGCTTCCTCTTTGCACTGTAGAGTTTCAGCTGGCAACGGCGGATGGCACGGTGGATTGTGTTCACTGACAATACTTTCTGGAAGTATTCCTGAGCCCATTCTGTTGTTTCCTTGACAGTGGCATTCCTGTTTGAGGTGCAGTGACGTTTAAGGGCCCGGAGATCACGAGCATCCAGTAGAGTTTTACGGCCTTGAACCTTATGCACAGCGATTGTTCAAGATTCTCTGAATCTTTTGATGATGTTATGCACGGTTGATGATGATAATTTAAAAGTCTTTGCTATTTTACACTGGGTAACATCATTCTGGTATTGCTGCACTATCTTTCTGCGCAACAATGGTGGAATTGGTGATCCTCTTACCATCTTGGTTTCTGAGAGACACAGTCAGTCAGTCACACTCATCACCTGTTACTCAATTCAATTCAATTCAGTTTATTTATATAGCGCCAAATCACAACAAAGTTGTCCTAGGGCACTTTACAGGAACATTCACATACATAAAAGCCAATTAGTAAAGTTCTCTATCTAAGATATCCTGATGCATGCTCAATAATCCAGGTAGAAAAATCCAAAAAAGTTCAATCTGGTCCTCTGGACATTCAAAAAAAAACAAAAAAACAAAACAAAGCAAAAAAATCTAGAAACGTTTCGTCTCTCATCCAAGAGACTTCCTCAGTCTGAGGTGCTGTTTTCAGCTCAGTCTCTTAAATAGCACCTTCTCAGAGTGGATCAACCAGTTTGCTGCTGACAACCAAAACCAGCTGATCACATGCTCAAGAAGGACCATCTGCCTAACAA